CCTCCAACTGTGTGGTGGATAGTCGTTTTGTGCTCAAAATCACAGACTATGGCCTGGCCAGCTTCCGATCAACTGCTGAACCTGACGACAGCCACGCCCTCTATGCCAGTGAGGCCTGCCCGTACAACCTACTTTTTATGTTTTCTCTGGCCATGATCATTTCCACCAAGAGAGGGTGGGAGAGAGACATGGAGTAACAGCGATATGTGGGTGAGCCTAGGTGAGCTTGGGGTACCCTATTTTGGGGTGTGGCCAGCCTGGTTTTCTTTTCAGAGAAGCTGTGGACTGCCCCAGAACTGCTCAGTGGGAACCCCCTGCCAACCACAGGAATGCAGAAGGCTGATGTGTACAGTTTTGGGATCATTCTACAGGAGATAGCACTTCGCAGTGGTCCTTTCTACTTGGAGGGCCTGGACCTCAGCCCTAAAGGTGAGAGTCAATTACTACTCATAGCAGCTTCCTCCCAGGGGACCCTGTCCTTCATCCAAACCTTTCATCACCCTTAGAGATTGTCCAGAAGGTCCGAAATGGTCAGCGACCATATTTTCGGCCAACCATTGACCGGACCCAACTGAATGAAGAGCTAGTTATGTTGATGGAGCGATGTTGGGCCCAGGACCCAGCTGAGCGGCCAGATTTTGGACAGATCAAAGGCTTCATTCGCCGTTTTAACAAGTGAGAGGGCACCAGGGGGCATGAACTACTGAGGGACAGAAGCCTCATTAAACTTGGTGAATAAGGTGGGGGGGTGGGGCCAAAGGGTGGATTGGATATGAAGTCCCAAGGTTCTTAAGAATCTTGCAACACCAGGCATGGTGGCACATGTCTGTAATCTTAGCACCTGGAAAGATGAGGCAGGAGGAGCACAGAAAGTCTGAGGCCAGCCTGGGTTACATAGTGAGTTCAAGGCCAGCCTGCATTACAAAGCAAGACCCTGTCTAAAAAAAACAAAGAATCTTAAAGCAGATGCCATAACCGGGCTTCCCTGCAGAGAGGGTGGCACCAGCATATTGGACAACCTCCTGCTGCGCATGGAACAGTATGCCAATAACCTGGAGAAGCTGGTGGAAGAACGCACACAGGCCTATCTGGAGGAGAAACGCAAGGCTGAGGCTCTGCTCTACCAAATTCTACCCCAGTGAGACCTTTGACCCGCTCCTTAAATTTTCCTTTGGGATTCAACTGTGTTGGGTTTTACCTCCATCAGCTTCCTGAAAACTCACCTCCCACCCTCAGAACCCATTTATTTTGTCTCGACAGTGACCCCTTCTGACTGTAGACTAAACATTTTCATTTTGTCTCCAATGAGCTGTCCTCTTGCTAGCTTCACATTGCTCCCTAGGACACTACACCTTGCCTTTGCTTTAACAACTCTATGTAAAATATTCCCAGCTTGAGATACCTTGCCTCTACATGCAGATCCCCTTGTAGCCCTCCACCACAGATACAGCTTACCATGTTCCAGGGAACTTTTCAGCCACTTTGCTGCAACCACCTACCTTTTTGCTCCCTGCCCCCTACAACCATCTTTCTTAGAGCTGGGCTTATACTGTACTCTTGCTTTCTAGCTCTGTGGCAGAGCAGTTAAAGCGGGGAGAGACGGTACAGGCTGAGGCCTTTGACAGTGTTACCATCTACTTCAGTGACATCGTTGGCTTCACAGCACTGTCAGCTGAGAGCACCCCCATGCAGGTGAGCGGTCAAGGGTGGGATAGGGACCTGGGCTTCATCGATAACAGGGAAGACTCCTTTGTTCTAGAGCTCCCATACATTGTTATGGTTCATGGATTCAGAATTAGTAAGTTGGGCATGAATTTCAGGGCCTCTGCTTTCCCATCCTGTTAGGTGGTGACACTTCTTAATGACCTGTATACCTGCTTTGATGCCATAATTGACAACTTTGACGTCTACAAGGTGAGAGCTGGGCTGCCCTTCTACAGTGACCCCTTTAAAACCTAGGCTCTGAACTCCCCCCACACCTTCCTTACTCCATAGTTAGTTCTCCTCCAGGGTCTCCAGCATCCTACTGATGGTGTACACTCTGTGGATGGATGTGGCTCCAGCATTGTAAATGTACACTTGGGCCTAATTCCTTGTGAATCCTTAGGGCTCCCTAATCAGAACCATCATAAGCTTTATTCCTTATCTGCCTGGGGATACACAGCTTATCCATTTTCTTCTCCAGACACTACGTTTGGTGCCTTCTCCAAACGTAGGCACAGATTGATTTAGTGGAGTGAAGGTCAAGCTATGGGTAAAGGTTGTAATGCTTTTTGTTGAAGTCATTGCATTGGTAGAGAGAAGGTTTTATTGTCCTTGAGAGTAAAAATGAGCTGGATTTGAATACTGGCTGTGTAGTTGGGTGGCTCTGGCTGAGGAGCAGAATCTCCCCGAGTCTCAGTTGTTTTATATTTAAAATGGGGATAATAGATTAGTTGTCAGGTGTGGTGGCTCAAGGCTGTAATGTCAGCTACTCAGGAGGCTGAGGATCAAAAGGTTGATTGCAGTGGGGAACTTAGTGATTAAGCAAGACTTGGTCTCAAAATAAAAAGGTCTGGAGATGTAGCTCAGTGTGAAGGCTCTGGGTTTGATCCCCAGAACTGCAAAGAGAAACAGAGAGAGAGGAGAGATAGAGAGAGAGGGAGGGAGGGAGAAAATAGAAGGCTAGGATGCAATGGAGGAGGCTGGGGATGTAGTTCAGTGCTCCCCAGGTTCAAAAAAATTAGCTGTATGGTTGTATGGAAAGGATCTAACATTATATATGGCACTTGGCAGATAATAAATGTCTATTCCTGGGCCTTCCTTTTGGGCTTCCTCTATCATCTCTGTTTCTATAACAAAAGAACTCTCATAACCCTTTGCCCAGATTCAGTTGTTTTTATTTTCCTCTTTTTACTTTAAGAAACCTATTTATAGCTGGGCACAGTGGCACATACCTATATTTTCAGAATTTTGGGTCGCTGAGACAAGAGGATAGAAAGTTTAAGCCCAACCTAGCAAGTTACTGTCTCAAAATAAGAATAAAAAGGAGCCAGGTTTGGTGGCTCATGCTTGTAATCTCAGGCAGGGGATTGCAAGTTTGAGCTGAGCCTGGGCAACTGATTGAGACCCTGTCTCAAAATTTAAAAAAAGTTTAAAAAAGTGGGGGGGCAGGCTGGGAATACAGCTCATTGCAAAGGTCCTGGATTCAAGCCCAGTATTGAAGGGTGTGTATGTGTCTCTCTGTAGAAACCTATTTATGTAACTATTTTTGAAACCATTTGAGTATAAGTTTCAAGTGTAGAATCCCTTCATCCTAAATACCTAATGTATATATCCTAATGTATATTTCCTAAAAAATTCACTGTATATTTCATAAAAACAAGGACATTCTCTTACATAGTTTTGGTACGATTACCTGTCAAGTGCCTATTTTATCACCCTCTGATAATCTGGGCTGTGAGGTCCATTTCATTGGGCCTGCTTTACCTCTTTGCAAAACTCTGTGCTTTTCAGGTTACCCTGTTTTCTTGCTTCTTGTCTCCTGACAGCAGAGCTATTTATCCAGGCCCTGTTGCAGATGGGTGTCCACTCATTCAGCAAATGTTTACAGGTGCTGGGGTCAGGATTTTGTTGACTTCTCCTTCATCTCAGATTTGTAGGACCATGGCACTTATTTTCTAGTCAGTGTTCTGGCCTCCCAAGCGGTCAGAATGACTCCTTGTGATGCCCAGCTTGTCTCCCTGTGCCTTTCCTCAATCCCACTGATACAGATAGAGGTGACCTTTCAATCCCCTTCTCAATCAGGTGGAGACGATTGGGGATGCATACATGGTGGTGTCTGGTCTCCCAGGTCGAAATGGTCAACGCCATGCACCAGAAATTGCTCGAATGGCCCTAGCATTACTAGATGCAGTTTCTTCCTTCCGCATCCGCCACCGACCCCATGACCAACTAAGGCTACGCATAGGGGTCCACACTGGTAAGGCTGACTCTCACTGTCCCTGGTCTCCACCCTTCCCAGGCTCTCCCAACCTGTTTCTTTTCTTAGGGCCAGTTTGTGCTGGGGTTGTTGGCCTGAAGATGCCCCGCTATTGTCTTTTTGGAGACACAGTAAACACTGCTTCTCGCATGGAATCTAACGGTCAAGGTAAGACACTGGCATTTAGCTACTGCCTCGGCCTCAGTTGCTCCTTTCGTCTTCTCAGAGTTCCTCCGAATGTCTCAATTTAAGAGAACACAGTTCCTAAGTTCATCCTTGGGCACACTTTTGTTCTAAGGGAATATGTGTTGGGAAGACAGGCAGCCTCATGGTTGGGTAAGGTGCTCTCCAGTACTATCAATTCTTCATTGCCTTCTCTCCGACTCTTCTTTCCCCCGTCCCCCCACCCCCCAGCCCTGAAGATCCATGTCTCCTCTACCACCAAGGATGCACTGGATGAGCTAGGATGCTTCCAGCTAGAGCTTCGGGGAGATGTGGAGATGAAGGTAAAGGCAGGCCATGGGGAGGAAAGGGAGGGTGGAAGTGAAAGAAGGAAGATAAAAGGATTCATACCAAAAAATTTGATCTATGTTCACTCCCCTGCTTCCAGGGAAAAGGAAAGATGCGAACTTACTGGCTCCTCGGAGAGCGAAAAGGACCTCCTGGACTCCTGTAAACCTTACTTTATCCTAAGTCAGACAGTCTCCTGCTACTGGTACCTGGGTGGGCGTAGCTACCATTTCTTCACACACCAGAAACAGACATTGTTATGTGAGGTGGAAAATGTGCACAAAAAGCCTGCTAATATGGAAGTTGAGTCCTCTGCAGCTCAGCCTTGTACATATACCTGTCCTTCTCTGACTTGGTTCCTTTCCTCCCTACCTTCTGTAAATATCTGTATCTAAACCAGAATATTTTGGCCAAGTATAAAACAACAACAATGACAACAAGTCATGGTGTCATAGTCTGGGCTGGGGCAACCTGAAGGAAAGGTTATGCGTTATGGACCCAGCGACTCACAGAATCAATGAAAGCAGACTTGGGATGAGGGAGAACCATTTATGTGAAGTCCTTTCATCAAGTACAGAGAAGATTAACTTGTTCCCCACCCACTTCTCTAGTACAAACAAAAACAGCTTCCAAATTCCATGTTCTACTTTTCCCCTCAACAGTTAGACAGCAGCCTTTCTTCCTCATCAGTACCCCTGCCCCCTTCCCTGACAGGCAAGGGAAGACATTTCACCCATTTGGTGGGGGTAGCTGTCAGATTCATACGGCAAAGGCTGTCCCAGAGACAAGGGCACTGGTGTTGAGAAGCTGCAGTTCTTCCGGAATGGTGTGTCCAGTGTCCTGATGTAACTGACACCCTGGAGAAGTGCCAGGATGAGGACAGATCTCATCCTCCCTCAGGCCACAACAGAACAGCCTCTGCCCTGCCGCCTTTCCTACCTCTAATACCTAGCCCACCCTCACGTACCGGTAGCTGTGGTGCCCTTTGTATCCAGAAGGTTTCAGGTTGCTCCTGACGGTAGTCATGAGGCTGTTAGGGAGAGATACTGAATAATTCCTTTCCTTTGGCCCTCATTCACAATTTCTGGGCTTGCCCTCCTGTCAGAGTCCAGCTGAAGAAGTAGGGTGGGATGGGTTCTCACCTTTGTTGGGGCAGGAGGCCCTGCTTGCAGCAGCTCCACTCGGTAGTCATCATGTGTCACTGACTCGACCTCAAAGAGCTTCCTTGGGGGCTCCTGCTCTGCCTGCACCTCTTCACTGCACAGCCCTGGGGGCTGTCAAGGCCATTCTCCCAAGGTTTCTCCTCCCCTCCCCCTTCCCCAGTGTCTCACCAGATCTGGTGGTACAGGAGCATCTCCAGCATGGCTTCACGCTTCCCTGTGGGAGGGCAGAGTAGGGGGTCTGGTTAAGAAACAGATTTGAAAAGAGGAAGGGAAATCTTGGGAGTTTTCTTTATATCCATCAAACAATCCAGTCCTGCCAGAAATTCTTTTTTTTCTCCCTGATGGACTCATCGTGGCTTGTTCTCTCATGCGTCATACCTCTAAGAGGCTGATGGAAGTTTTTTGGAGGCTGATATGAGTCTTTCTGGGTGGTGGAGGAGGGCACAGGTGACTGCAGTATGGTCAGCAGTCCCTGGTGCCCGTGTCGGAAGAAGAAACTCTCAGAGCCATCTTTCAAGCTTGGGACTTGATCCAGGTGATTGGTGGCTCTCTGTGGGCCCCAAGTGGAGTGATTATAATATTCCTTCTAGTACCTTTCTTCACCATAAACTATTCGCTCCCCTAGGAAGGTGGGATTAGCCTTCCTGAAAAGGGAGAAAGCAATAAACAATACCTCTTCCTCCCAGTTATGGAGGAGGCACTGGCCCCGTGGTAATGGTCCATAGTGAAACTGAGGCTTTCCTTCAACCTCTTGTAGTTTCCGTAGCCCTCGGGCACCAGGTTCTGAGACTTGCAGAAATTCCCAGGTTGCTTGTTTCTGAGGCTCCCAGTGGCAGTGGGGACTCCAGGAGGTATTATCGGGGAGCATATCTGACCTGAGATTTCTGAACCTTTGAGTACTGCTGGGGCTAACCTCAGGGCCAGGGCCAGAGCGTGGGCCAGTTCCAGAGGCAGGACAGGAGCCTTGGCCAGGACCTGAACCAGAGCCAGGGACTGAGTCATGGCCAGGACCAGAGCAGGAGCCAGGGACAGAGCCACTGCCAGGACCAGAGCTGGAGGCAGGAACAGGGCCAGAGCTTGAGCCAAGGTCGGTTGTACAGGGATCCTGAGCAATACAGGAAACATAGGTGGGCTCAAAGTCAAGGCTCCCAAGGCCTGTCTGGTGGGATCCAGCACGTTTTGCCCCAAGACTGTCAGAGGAGGGCTCCATGAACCCAGAATGGGACTCTAGGGTCTCTGAACATAACGCAGCTGCTTTGTTGGTGGAAGCGGCTGCACCGGCTGCAGCAGCTGGTGCAGCCGCTGCAGCTGCTGCGGTTGCAGCTGTTAGGGCAGACCTTGAACCGATGTCAGAAGAAGGAAACGGTTCCGAGGTAGTCGTTAGTCCTTCGGGGCTGGACTGTACGTCTAAAGCTCTGAAAGAAAAGGAATGCGTCAAGGCCGGTAGGAGAGTAGCAGGAAGTGCGCTGACCTTCCTTGTCCCCTTACGCCTGTGGCTCTTACCGCGACCGCGATCCTAGTGTAGACTCCTTGGTCTCCATCTTCTGTGTCCAGCTACCAGGTTGCTATAGAGACGGTAATAGCCCCAGGAGCCTGCGCAGAACTAAAGCTGGGCGGGTGTAGAAGGCGGGGTGGAGGCAAGCCCTCTGCGGGGCGGAAGCCTTAAACTCGGGCGTTCACTGAGAGTCCAGTCCGCTTTCCGGGCGGACTCCACTCCGCCTCGGCCGCAGTTTTAAGGTTCCGCGGGACTGAGGCCTCGCCCTCTAGGCCGGAGCGTGATTCTTTGCAACTAAGGTGGTTGTTTACCGGGATGCTTCGGAGACAAGCACAGGGCTAGAGCATCACACAAAAACTTACTTGGTTTGTTTGTGGAGGGGCAATAGTAGCTTCCCTCCCTTTAGTATGCTTAGTTCATTTTCAAAGGTTGGGAATGGGAAGTCTAATTCTTTTTTAAGGAGATGAAAATACGTGAAAAACGGGGAGACGTGGAGTATCAATATAGGTCTAGCAGCTTGTGTGTGTGTGTGTATGTGATTACTTTTCCAGTAGAAGACTGTTACACTGCCCGCCCTTCTCCCAATAACCTGTACGACCTGGTCTGGTTTCTGGGTAAGGGCCAGGATGGAGCATGTCTTCCATCTGGGTTTCAGTCCTTTCCTGCTCCTTCCAGCTCATTCCTGTTGCTACTTTTGTGCAGGTGTGGCCCAGATGGACCACATATCATGTGCAGATCAACAAGCAAGTAACACATTTGCCCTGTTTGACATCAGCTGATCTCTTTAATCGCTGATGGCCCTCCTTTGTATTTGTTTTTAATTTTTTTCACTGGAGATTGAACCTAGGGCCTTGACACTGAGCTACATCTCCAGTCCTTTTTAATATATTTTTGAGGTAGGATCTTCCTTAAGTTGCTAAGTTGCCCAAGCTGGGCTCAAATTTGGAATCCTGCTGCCCCAGCCTCCCAGTCTCTGCCCATTGCCAAGGGAAATCACGGCCCCAAATTAGTTTTCTTTCCTCTTGTGGTATAAATCTTTTGACTATTCAAGACAGGGATGCAAAATTGAAGGAGAATAGATTTATTAGCATCACAGAGTCCTTTCCCCATCCACACATTCAGGTCTGGGCTCCTTGCTCAGTTGGCAGGTTCATCCTGGAGGCCACTGGAGCTGTCGGCCTCCAAGTACGTGAATATGTAGGTGATATACAGATTGTGCGCCCAGCTTTCCATCATTGATCACTGAAATGGAGCTTGAGGTTAGGGGGTCAGGGTCATGGGAGAGGTCAAAGAATGAAAGTTACATTGAAGAGCTGGAATTCACAGGTGAGAGGCCCAAGTCACTCACCAAGTCGGTATCCATCTCCCAGGCCCTCAGCCTTTGCTATCTTCTTGGCCACAAGGAGGAGGTGTCCTAGAAGCTACAGGGAGAGGGGAGGGACATAGGTAGCTTCATTCATAGGGAGCAAAACCTCTAGCTTAGTCCATGGTTCTTCCCAGGCAACCGCGGACCGATTTCCCCACCTGCTGGTCTTCTTCCTCAGCATGGCTAATTCGAGGAATGGGCTTCTTAGGAATAACCAGGAAATGCACAGGAGCCTGTGGGGCCACATCACGGAACACGAGACACTGGGAGCAGTGACAGGACAGAGACCATTGTGTTATTTTATCACGCCAGATGGTATCTATGAAATTCCTAAGGGGGCTGGGCCCTAAGGGGACCCCACCTGCTGGTCCTCATACAGAATGTCAGCTGGGAGACTTCTGTCCAAGATCCGAGAGAAGATGGTTGGGGCTGCTCCTCCAGGAGCTGCCTTCTGGGCCTTGGCCACTTCATTCCCGCCAGTAGTACCTGCAGCTCCTCGGACCTGAAGATGGGTCAGACACACCAAAAGGGAGGAGCTGGCAGTCTCCGTGTACTTAGCTGGGGCTGAGCTCTGGTAGTTATTAACTGCATCCTTCTAGGAATGTGTTAGTGGTTCCCACCCAAGTGAAAAGTTCCTGAATTTCACTGTTACAGCATCAGCGGGTAGGGTACATGGTACTGGGTCTGTCTGGATAACAAGCAGTGTTACTATGCAGGATTCAGATGTCCAACTGATTCCTGCTAATGTGTCTATGAAATCTAGTATTGTTCAGGGGAAAGGATCCAAAATGGGTGCCTCAAGATTTAGGTCCCAGTTCCAATTCTACCATCAAACTACCTCAAATAAATCTTTTTTTCCAGCTTCGAAAATAAAGGTGTGGGGCAGGAGATATAGCTCAGTGGCCTGCCTGGCAAGTGCAAGGTCCTGAATTTGATTCCCGGTACCAAAAAAATAAAAAATAAAAAAATAAAAAATAAAGAAAATAAAATAAAGGGGTAGTTTGAATTATGTATTAAGCTGGGTTGAAGCTCTTCCTGTATACTCCACCTTGTTTATTTTCACTTATTTATATCATTGCTTTTTGATCTTTTAAGTCTTCTTTTATTTTTATTTTATTGCATTTGCCCTGTTTGACATCAGTTGATCCCTCATCTGGGTGTCACTTCTGACATCTTCCTGTGGGTTTTTAACTCTAGAAACGTCAATCAGTGGCGCTGTATGAGTTCAACTAAGTGCACTCAGCTCCAGGGGATTGGAGGTCGAGTTGTCCCACTTTCTTAAGAACTCAGAGAAGGCTGAAGTCAGTGCATCACACTGAAGGAGAAAGGATGGCGTGAATTAGATTCCTCTGACTCCCAAGTCGATTCAGGAAGGTGGTGAGGATCAAAGGTTAACGGTTGTGCTTATTATAAGGCCAGAGGGCCGAGGCGGGCAGAAGGCTGGCTGCGCGAATAGAAAGCTCAGCATCTGCCAGGGGGCCCTGGGGCTGCCCAGAGCAGGCGCCGGGCCCGCGAGGCTTCAGACACGCGCGAGGCGCAGCCGCTGCGCCCACTTGACCGGACCTCGGCGCCAGGCCTGTGCAGAACTGGCGGTCGTGGCTAGCTCACTTCTCCCGCCGCCACCAGTCCGACCCCCTGCACAGTCCCACGGCTGGATTCTCTGAGGGGCAGCGGCTCTAAGAGGCTGCTGGGTTGCGCGCGCCCTCGGGAGCCCACCTCTGAGGGGGTAGGAGCTTGCGGGACCCCGTCCTCGCCCCCGCGGCCATTCTCACCTGCGCCCCTCGCGCGCCCGCGGCCGTCAGGGCTCTGCGCGCCGCGCGCAAATTGGCAGCCAGCACCATTACCGCAGCCATTTTTTTGGGCCGCGGAAGTCGCCGACCGGACCAGCGCTGCTCAGCGGCCCGCGGGAGGTGGGCTATTAGGTAGCTGGAGAGCGGTGGCCATTGGTCCACCTGGTCGGGCCCTGCCATCCCATTGGAGCACGCTCCTGCGCACGCCCTGCCATCCCATTGGAGCACGCTCCTGGGCACTATTAGTCCCATTGGCTCCGCTGCCACGTTAGAGGCAGAATCTTTTCATCCCATTGGCTGCTTCTGCCAACGGAGGGCCAATTTTCCACTCTATCGGCTTCGTCTTCCAGTCAGTGTGGAAGTATGTTTTCCACATACTCCACATAGTAACATTCTTGTAGTTGGCTGAGATGCACAGCCTGGGCTTCAGTTTGAGGCTCGAGTGGCGGGGCTGTCTTGTTCTGGGCTTTTCCTTTACAGCTCTGGCCGCTACTTCTGGCTAGAGGAAGGGGCGTGGCGCCCCCACCTGTACTTTAGACCCTTCCTTTGCGTCGGCCAGGAGGGCGGGGTTCTGAGGGCACCGCGCCCTTACCGCTGCAGGGGCGGCTTGCGCGGGTCCACCGGTGACCGGCGCCCGAGGCTTGCCTTCGGTGCAGTCCGTGGCCAGCGTGTTCTCCCCGAGGGCAGTTTCAGACCCTTCGCCATCTCAAAGATGGTAAAGGACAACTCCTCCTTAATTTTATGGTTTAACTAACACCTTCTTTCCATAGATTAAATATTACGCAGTGTGTCCAGGGTAGTTTTTGCAGATCGGGCGAGGATGGGAGCGTCATATCTTTGCTGCACTTGTAATAAGGCAAAGGCAGTAGATATCCAATGTTCTTTGCAAAAAAGGGGATGTGCGACGGCATTTTCTTTGAGCCAAGTTTGCTCTGCTGGTATTTTTCTTTTTGACATATCACCCAGGGGTGGTGGCCCACGCCTGTAGTCTCAGCACTTGGGAGGCTGAGGCAGGTGGATCGCTGTGAGTTGGAGGTGAGTTCAAAGCCAATCTGAACTACCTGTACATAGTGAGACTGTCTCAAAAAGAAAACAAACAAAACCCATCTAAAACATAGTGTCACAAAGATACTAAGACCAGGTAAGATTTAGTTTGATGCTTAACATATAGGATAATTTACCACTGTATTTTAGGGTTTTTTTTCTTAGTTCTGGGAATTGAACCCAGGGCCTTTTCACTGAGCTACATCCTTAGCCCCCTTTTTTTTTTTTCTCCAGACAGAATCTCACCATGTAGCCTAGGTTGCCCTTGAACTTGCAGCAGTCCTCCTGCCTGTGCCTCCTGAGTGCTGGGATTATAAGAGTTTGGCAGCATGCCCAGCTTCCCAGCCCTTTTCTAATTTTACTTTGAGACAGGTTCTCACTAAGTCATTAAATTGCCCAGGGTGGCCTTGAACTGGCACTCTTGCCTCAGCCTCCTATTTCTGGGGTTACATCATATTCCCCCACCCCTGACATTTTGTTTTTTTAATTAGTTTTTTGTTTTGTTTTTTAAACACATGGCTTGACACATATAAATGCTCAATACTTGCTGAATGAATAAATTTGTTTTATTTCTTTTCATAATATAGGATAACATGTATGGGATATCCTCCCACTTATAGTTTATAGTTAACTTATTGTTATCCTCCCACTTATAGTTTCTCATTATTACATAGTCTATGTAAATGTACTTAGTAATGACTGCATACTATTTCCTTGAATGGATTTATCAGAGTAACTGTTCCTCTACTGTTGACTATTAATTGATTTAGGTGGATGTTACCATGGTACACAGAACCAGTGTTGGAGAAGGCTCCAGATCTTCACTTCTACAGTTAGCAAATCCCTGTTCTGTAGCTATATTATTAGAAAGTCCTTCCTTCTCCAAAGGGTTGAGGTTTGAGCCTGTGATTTTCCCTAGGGTCCTTGAAGTCTAGGCTGCTACCCCGCCTCAGAAGGCAGATGCCTCTCTAGATGCAAGGGAATGGAGAATGGCCTTTTCTCTGTGTCTCTGGGTCACCGGGAGACCCTGGAGCTGCCTTGGATAAGGGTAGGGGATAGTGGAGCTGAGTTCTAGAAGACGAAGGCAAACAGCTTGGAGGGATAGTGAGTACAAAGCACTTTGAAGCTGGTTATTCTTTGGAGCCCCATAGAGACCAGGCAACATAGATTATTCCTGTTTAGCAGGTCCAGAAACAGACCCAGCGAGGGAAAGTGCTGCCCTAGAGTCACAAGGCCCACCAGTGTAAGACTCTACTCCACTCAGCGTTGTCTGTGGACTTCCCCTATGGGGGAGCTCCGAGCACAAGCTCTGCTGCAGATCCAAGGCTTCAGATCTTTATTCCAGCAGCTGCTGTCCTCTGGAAGCTGTACAGGCTTTGACTGTCCTCTCTATGTTACTGCACCTGCTACCGGGGCTCCTTGGAGACTACTGTTCCTTTTTCATCTGTTGTTTGCTTCCTGGCATCACTTTCCCTTTTGTATTGCCCACTCTCTCCATATCCTCATGCCTACTTCTTTTGCCTTATTTTCCTGATTATCTTTCCTGACACCCTCCCATCACCACCCATTAATCTAAATTTTTTGCTTTTCTTCTCTAACTGGTTCTCACTTCTAACTGTATCCTAAACTGACCAGGACTTTCTTAAATGCCCTACATTAATCGTCTCCAAACTTCACCTTTCTCTTCCTGTCTCCTATTTCCCACTCTTGGTCCTCACAGGGGAACTTCCACAATTTCCTGTTCCCTAAAGCCTAATAAAGGCTCCAGGCTTTCTTCTTGGTTTTAGGAAATAATTTCCCCCTACTGCCCTCTCCTTGCTTCCTCTTTCCTTTCCTTCTCACCTCTTCTTTCTTTGACAGGGTCTTGTTCAGTTGCCCAGGTAGGCCTTGAACTTGTGATCTTCCTGCTTCAGCCAGCTGTGATGTTTCTTTAGTTCAAAGCAAATCCCTTCACCTCTGCCTTGACCTCATTCTGTCCCTCTGGGATCTTCTCATTGGGGATCTCCCCTAGTTCTATTCTGCATCTTTCAAGGTCTTTTTGTCTACTGGTCTCTTCCCCTTTCCTTCCTAAGGACATGGTTCCTTGATTCTACAGGTCTCTGTCTCTCTAGATATTTTCTGACACTTCTCTCCTGAACCTTTCACCTAAGCTGCTGCTTTTTTTTTTTTTTCTTGAGAGAGGGTCTTGATATGTAGCCCAGGCTGGCCTTGAACTCCCAGTGATCCTTCTGCCTTAGCCTCCCGGGTGCTGGGATTATAGGCATGCACCACCACGCCTGGTGATACACCTAAGCTTCTTGAAGAGACTCCAGACTCCCTGCTGTTTGGCTTCTGCCTCCACTGTACCAGTGTGAAACTGCACTCTCTGAGGTCTCCAAAGAATTTCTAGTTGCAAAATCCAATGGGTACTTTTCAATCTTGATCTTATAAAAGGCTGGGGCTTTTGGTAAAGCCCCAGCTATACCAAAAATCACTTGTCATTCTATCCTTGCAATTCCCTCCCTTCTTAACTTCCTTGAAGGCTTCCTTGAAGCCATTCTACTTCTTGTGTCAGAGCCAGCAGTTTAAATGTGGGTGCGATGGTTACAGATGCTGGACCCACCCTTTATCCTGCTCGTGGGTGCTGTTGCTTGCCCCCAGTAAGGGCTGGCTCTAAGGTCTTACAGTTGGGTTGTGGCTTTTCCTGCCACATACAGAGCCAGGTCAGATTCTAGTTACTTTCACTTTATTGCTGATGTGACCAGGCTCAGAAAGGCCTGTGCCAGCTGTTGACAGCGTGTGTCCCTGGAGGAAGGAAGAACAGAAGGGAATGGGTCAGGTATGTGGGTCAAATTTGGGGCCAGGCTGGAGGCCAGATGGGCCAGGAAGTGCAGGGGGACTTGGATGGGAACTAGAATGACCAGAAAGCCCCTGCACCTGGAGGGCCTCAAAGTTAGGGTTGTTGATGATGGCTTCTCGGAGGACCGGCATCTCAGCAAAAGGCACATAGTCTGCTCCTGGGTTGGAAACCAGTGTGGGAAAGGGATATGGAGGGTGGAATGAAGGAGTGCAGGAGTGCTGGAGGGGAGGGCTGAGGGTGGGAGTGCCTTTCTGCCTGGCCTTCTGACTGTAGGTGCCGGGATGGCCCTTGTCCAAGGTTGCTCTCTCACCTTGAGGCCTCCCTCCTCGTCGTCGGGTCTCCTCGGTCTCAAAGAAAGTCGCATGTTCCTCCCAGCGCCGGTCACAGGCCGCACAGAGGAAATTAGACTCAAAACAGTTGCAAGAACAGCCTGGGACAAAGGGACAACCGAGAAGAATATAGGGAGCTGGGGTATCCCTATGGACTGACTACATTCTCTTCTCTTCCTTACCAGTGTGTCTCCTCTCAGCCCCTGTCCATGTCTCCAGTCTGCATTTTCTACTTTTCTTCTTCCCACCCCAGCACTTTCCTTGCGCTAGAAGTTACCATGATGCCTGCAGGGATGGGCTCCATTGGCTGCGTGGTCTTCGTGGCTGTGTTTGCAACGACATTGGGCCCTCCAGGCCTTGGGATTGAAGGTGGCTCGTCTCCTGAGCCAGAACTCACCCACCTCCTCTGGGCGTGATGGGATGAAGCAGAATATGAGGCAGCGGCACTGGCCCACAGTGCAGGGCACAGATATATCTATGGGAATGGCGGCGGGTGGTAGGGTTTGACCAGAACCTCATAGCATTTGGTCTTCCCCACCCCACCCTCTGCCAATGTAGCTTGCACTGAGACCACCCCCCAATACATCCCAAGACACAACAGAGTACAGCTATGACTCCACTCTGGAGAGACTGTCACCTCTCCCATACCTGAGACGATCTGGTGTTGTTTCAGCAAGTGTCCACAAAAGCACTTGGACTCATCCCCAATCCGGTAACAGTCCCATAGGTAATGTGGACAGCGCCAGCCAATATAGAGACCTAAGTGCAGATGATTGAATATACAGTGGAAAATGAGAGAAAAGTTCTAAGCTTCCTCCAGGTGTTCTGACCTATCCTTTGGGATGGGGGTGGGGCTCACCACTACCCCCATGTACATTAATCTCCACCCAGCCACCCTCACCTCTAACCCTTAGACTTTTTTCCTCAAGGTTTTCTTATCGTCCCCTAATTGTCTTCAGTTCCTTTCCTATCCCAGGATCCACTCCATCTTGTAGTTGCAGGACTCTTATTGACATCTGAAATCTCAACTGGGACTCACCTTTTCCAAAAAAATTGCCCCTGACTTCTCCTGTCTGCCAGGCCCCTCCTCTTGCCTTCTATAGCTCCTTGTGCTACTCCTCACACTCAGTACATGGTAATAGGCTGTCCACTTGTGTTCCCATTAGTTTATGAGCTCCTCAGGGAAACACTTATGTTTTCATCCAATATCTCTAATCCCAGCACAGGACTTTGCACAGAATAGATGTTCAGAGAACATACACTGCCTGACTGAATAAATAGCAAATTCCTTCAGGAGAGAAGAGAGACCCAACATTCCAGGCAGGCATAAACCTGGCATCCCATAGGAAAATGAGAAAGAATCTGGTTTTTGACTCCAGGCAGGATCACCGTTCATAGTTCTGTGCTTCAGGCCAGGTATTCTTGTCTTACCCATAGTTTTTCAGGATCTAAAGCCTATCTAGATGTGACTTTTGGCTTGGCTGCTTTGATTGTGATACTGAGAGCTTGCAGTACAAGTGCCCAGTATAGCACGGAGGTTTGGTTGAGAGCACCAGCTATAGGCAGAGTCACAATGGGGGTGGATGGGAGCCAGGATTCCACTAGAGGAGTTCTGAACTCTGTCTAGAACAGCAAGACACAAAGGATAAGCAGATGAGGTACGGAGGTGAACATGAGTTTATATTCATAGATAAAAGTCCATGCCCACAGATCAAGTCTAAGCACTGGTATAGGAATCAGTGGATGAAGGGTTTGAATAGGAGACTGGAAGTAGACCTTGGATTCTATTCTGTCATTCTATTCAGTGCTTTTCAGGGAGGAAAATTGGATGTGGCTGTAGATTCCATTCTCTGCCCTGACTCCAAGGCTCCTTTCTGTTATGAGTAGACAAAGACTAGTGGGGGAAAACATTATCTGGCCACCACTCTGGTTATAATGCAGTCCAATTGAATGATTCCACAATCACAATGGTATGATAATATCTCTTTGTGTCTAGATGTCTCCACACGACATGTAGCAGTCTTTATAAGAAGGATGTCTCTATCCTCAGCCTTCCCTCCAAACCTAGTCTTCATTTTTTGCCCTCTCTTCATCCATCACACATTTATCTAGCATCTACCCTATTTTAGGCACCAGCATCTAATCAACTATTTAAACCAAAAACTGAGGTGTCGGTACAGACATTTTCCATTCTTATTACACACATCCAACGTGTGTAATAATCCAACAATCCAATAGTCAAGTTTACTTTGTTAGCATTTTGTGAATCTGTCCTTTTTTTCTTCCTACCTACTTCTTACCTGATTACCAGGGCCTCTTGGTATAGTCTCCTTGTCTCCTACCTTGGCTTTCTCCAGTCTATTCTATTGCCAGAGTGATCTTCCAAAAACACAATTCTGTTCATGTTTCTATCCTATTTAAAATCTTTTAGTGATTCTCAGTTGCCTTCAGAATATAATCCCAACTCTTTAGTTTGGCACAGATATGCCTCCATAACTGTTCTCTTCCAGAGCTGAGTTGGCTACTCCCTCTTACTTTCTCTATGCACCAAGCATCATGCATTGATTGCTACAGTGTCTTAAGATACCCTGTCTTGTCATATCTCACCTTACTCTACTTGGAGTTGGCCACCTCTTCTCAGCATCTTATAGATATCAGCTGAGCAGTCTTTCCTTCTAAGGCTTATTCCTTTAGCACCCAAGATTCAGTGCCCCTTTTCTTTGCTCCTGCAGCACTCTGAGTATAACAATTATTGAAATGAATTGTAATTGACCTTGTACTTATTGGTGTTGCTCATTAGAGTGCAAATTACTTGACGGATTTTTGGCTTTGAAATCTTACCAGCCCCACCACTTCCACAACTGGCTCAGAGCCAGAGCACATTAAATGTTTGTTGAAAGAATTTTTTAAAACACTTACATTTGACATTTCTCTACACATCATATACACTGTTATGGAGTCTTCACTCTCCAAGGACTCAAGGTTCCCTAACATTAAAGGGGACCTCAAATATCTTTGTTCAGATTGAGTGACACTTAAATTTTGTATAAGCTCCTATTTAAGCAGGAAAGTGAAGACCTGCAAATTGAAGAAGGAAGAGGGGGAAGAAGAGAAAGAAGAGGAGGAGGAGGGGAAGGGGAGGGATAGAAAAAGAGAAGCAATGGCCTTGAAGAGTAAGAAGCAGATAGGAGTCCAAGAAGAGAAATGATGGGCTGAACAGATCTGACATTTGGAAGAAAATAAGCAAGCATAACAGAAGATGTTAAAATAAGCAGAAAAAGCCATTTCGGTGCCTGAATTAAACAGAGAAACAAATGAGGTCACTGCGACTTTCTTGGCCAGAGGTAGAGAGTCCCTGAATGAGACTAGGGAAAGGATATGGAACCACCTGGGTTGTCCTTTTGACATAGCTCTGTTCCCATGATAAGGGGAAAAGGAAGTACAAAAGACCAAAATAAACAGTAACATCATTCAGTCTGGATACCCCAGAATCCTTATAGCAGGCCAGGGTAGCCTTCTTACTGAGGCTAGTAATCCCTGTAGATGTGAAGTTCAGTAACACAGGCAGACATGCTCACATACAGGATGACACTGTTGACACAACTCATCTGCACAACAGGAATACAGACAAATACAGCATGCCACTAGCAGGACCATCTGGGCTGAAACTTAAGACTCAGTAGGCCTAGGTAACACAGCTCTTCTCGTTAGTGGGAAGACTCAAACCTTTTGGGTACCCAAGTGATCACAGATCCAGCATGCAGGTGACAGCCTTTAATAGAATTCTACCAAAGGAGCCAAGGCCCTTTGCCATATCCAGACAAGAAGTCTCCTGGAGACTTTACAGGATCCTAGGCCACCTCTACCTCAGTATCTGTCTGGTGCAGCCTATCTGGGCCTGGATTGAGGGCTGGCCTCTGGGTCTTAACAAATTTTTGTGCAGCCACCTGCCCCTACCTGGGATTTATATGATTATCCCTTTTGTCAGCCCATACTGATATTTTTAGGCTTGCCTCCTTGGTTCCCTTCCAGATTCTAGGCACGAGGCATGGCTATTTCCACAAGGGCAACTATTCATTGAACAGGCAGTTTCCCAGATCCTGTTGGTTTAAATGATGTCCACTGGCCTCTTACAGGCACCTGTCTGAAATGCCATCTGGGCTCACCTGTCTGGATGGCATTCAGGGCTGCATCCTTTTCCCATTGGAAAAGATGATTCACCTGAGCACCAAACTGTTCTCTGTGCATTGCCTTAGCCATCTCCACCAGCTCTGCCTGCTTAGTAGGGACCACTGAGTGGCCTGTATAACCTAGGAAGGAAGGGGCTGAGTAACCAAGGAGGGATGTGAAGAGGCTCTAAAACTAAGACAGAGGGGTCAGGCATGGCGGTGCATGCCTGTAATCCCACACTCAGGAGGCTGAGGTAGGATTGCTGCAAGTTGGAGGCCAGTTTGTGACACATAATGAGTTCAAGTTTGAGAACCTGTCTCAAAAAACCAAAAAAGCCAGGCACGGTGCACATGCTTGTAATCCCAGCTATGGGAGCCTGAGGCAGGAGGATTGCCATGAATTCAAGGCCAGTCTGAACTACATGGCAGGACACTGTCTCAAAAAAATCAAAAGCAAAACAGAACTAAACCAAACAAAAACACACACACACACAAAATCCCAAACAAAACAAACAAACAAAAAACCCCAACCCCTTGAAAGCCCCAAACAAACAAACAAAAAACAAAAACAAAAAACGAAAGACCTAAGAGAAATGGACAGCTCCAAGAATAACCCAGATCCCTCCTCCTAGGCCAGCGACAGTAATAGGAGAAGGGCAGAGTAATTACGGATAATTCCTTTCTTCCCCTTTTTCTTGCGTGGCTGGTGTCCAGGCTGGGCTGTGTGAGCAGTGATGTCACTGGTACCCACCACGTTCTTGTCTTCTTCTGCCTCTTCCTGCTGTTTTGCAGATGTGTCCGTGTATATGTGGGCTGAAGGGCCTGCAAGGGAGTGCTCTGGAAGGTGCTCAAATTCAGGGGCGTGAGAGGACCCCTTCATCCATGGGACCTCCTTGGAAGAAGACTCAGAGAGGAGGTTTTCCCTCAAAGCATCAGAGGGAGACACAGAAGCATGATTTACTGATGCGGGCAGAAAAATAAGGTGTTTCTCTGGGACCTCAGACATGTCAGTCTCAGGGGTAGGGGCTTCCAAAGGGATATCAGAGATGGACTTTTCGAAAGAGGTCATGGGAATGGAAGGCTTCAGAGGACTTTCAGAGGCTTGGGGTAGTAAAGTGGTCAGGGAAGGGGATGGCACCAAAGGGGGTTTAGAGGTGTGGGACTCTAAAGGGGTTTCAGCAGCAAGGGGCTCTAAAGGGATCTGGGAGATAGAAGGCTCCAAGGGGGTTTCAGAGGTAGGGAGTGCCTGTAAGTCTTCAACAGAGGGGTCTTTTGATGAAGGGTGTTCTTTTGCATCCATGATGGTGGTGGTATCTTGCTCTTCTGTGGTCTCATCTGCTTCCATCTAGTGGTAGAAGAGGGTACAGGCTTTATTAGGTTGGGATTGGAGAGGTCCTCAAATTGGGGCAGAGCTCAGGGTTCACAGGGGGTTATGGAATTCGGATAAGGCTTTATTGCAGATGAGACACAAGAGTTTTGGGTCTCAGTGTATGATACCAGGAGGCTCACTTGTGTGCCCAGATCTCATGTGGCATGTTGCCTTCAGCTGTTAGGGAGCTGGTGCTTAAAGAGAAAAGCTGAAGTAGTCAGAATCCCATCAGTAGATGGTAGCAGAGAACCATGCCCCAGAAGGAAGTCCAAACCCAGGTACTTGGTCAGTCCAAGAGTAGGGTACTAGGCACCCTGGAGGTCAGGCTATGGAGTCCCAGAAACTGGAAATAACATTCCAAAGTTTGGGTTGGCTCCTGAGTGGGAGAATGCCAAAATGCATAAGGCAAGACCCTGCTTATAGTCTGTTTTTTGTCTAGGGACCACATACACTGTCCCTTGTCATTCATGTTCAAGGCTTCAGCTACTTCTAGTGGTACACTGCTGACTTCTAATTCCATATTTCCAGTTCAGACCTCTTTTAACCCTTGTACATTAACTTCTTGCTGGACATTTCTAACTGGTGTCCCAAAGGCATCAAAACTAAACTCTGGGAACTATCTTAGTCTTCTCCTTGTCTATAGGCTCCCATTTTCTAATAGGTACCAAGAACATATCACTTCTTAAATTTCTCAGAGCCTTCTTGAACTCATCAAAGACTTTCCAGAGGGGAAGTTTGGTAAGGGAATTAGGATCAAAGGTAGGATAATGGGGCAGAAGGTCTGCTAAATATTCCTAAAATGCATTCTTTCTGCTCCTTTCCCTCCAATTTTGTTGAAAGCCTCATTATCTTCTGCTTAGGTTGTGTAATAACTTTACCCTTCCATAGCCATCCTCATCACTATTAATCAGTTCATCCATTCATTTATTCATTTAGGAAACATACAAAGAGCCTAATCTTACACTTTTACTCAGGCATTGTGTTAAGCACAGGACTCAGTGGAGTTTGGGAGAGACACCTTAACTAACAATGACAACACAAATGAACTGAGGTGCTTCAGTAAATGCAGGATGCTCTGGGGAGGGAGTATGCCTAATTTATCCTGTAAGGATGTCCAAAAGATTTAGTCCTTCATCTTGACCAGACCAAGATCTTTCCAAAATGCAAACCCAACGCTGCCATCCCTTGCTTAAAAACGTTTAGTGGCTCAGCCTAAATGATTAAGTCCAAATTTCTTGGCCCTTGCATTCAAGGTCTGTCATTGTTTGCACCATCAGAGAATTCCTGCCTTAACTGTTTCTTATCCCTATGTTCTCCCGTGCTCCTGAGATACTAGATAGATCTCTTAAATTCATCAGAGCCTTCTTGAAGTCATCACAGCCTTTCCAGAGGGGAAGTTGGGAGTTAGGGTCGAAGGCAGGGTAATGGGGCAGAAGGCGGCCAGAGTCAGCTAGAACAAAAATGTATCTGAAGATAGAGAACCAGAGGGTGGGAGGAGAGGAGTGAAAAGAGGGAATTGTGTGATGGGGAGGGTAAGGATGAAAAGTAGCCATGCAGGGACAGGAGGGACTCAGTGAGGCTGGGGTGGGCACTGAGACACTACATACCTCTGGGCTTTGGCTTGGATGTTATAAGTCCTTAGGTCAGGATCTTGCCATATGTTGGAGGGGGCAAGTGTTAGTTCAGGGGAGGGAACGCTCTTGGTTGTGGATGAGCCGAGCTGCAGGAGCCGAGCTGCAGGTGCCGAGAACTGAAAGAACTTGCTCGAAGCTCTCCTATTTGGGGAGACCTGGGCATCTGCAGATCTTCACAAAGGATTCTGGCTGACCTGGGGAAGGGTGGTAAGAGGGAGAGACAAGAGTTCTGAGCCGCGGAGGATGAGGGAGAGGCTTGACTGAGACCTCTAGAACCTGGATCGGGAGAAGGGTTGGTCACCAGGGCAAATGGAACGTCCAGTCGTCTCCAAGACAACAGGAGTCTGGTCACTTCCTGCGACGGTGGGATTTCCTGGGGGTGCTCATTGGACCCGATTGGGGGTTTCAGCGAGTCTCTGGGAGGGACTGTGCGGATTCTGTGGTACATCCATGAGGGAGTATGGGTTTGTGGAGGCCTCTATAGGGTCCCTATAGATCTGTGGAACGAACTCTGTGAGGGCTGAGAGAATCTGGGGGGGTCATGGGACTCTTGTTGGGGTGAGAAAGACAAGCTCTCTGGTCTCTGGGGCTGGGCGGAGTCTGTTTCTGAAGCCCCGCAGCGCTAAGTTAGAGGCCAATAGAATAACGTAGGAGGCGGGCTTTCCTAAGAGGGGCCAATAGAACTGCGAGGGGGGCGGAGCGTCATATGACGTCAGAATTGGGCCGCCGCGGGCCTGGCTATCACCGGTTCGGCGCAGCCCGGAGTCGCCCAGGCCCGAACTCCTATCCAGGTCCCGGACCCAGGCCCTAGGCCCGCGAGGACACCGGAGGTCACCCCCAGGGGTGGGGAGCGGAGTCGCGGGTCAGCGCTGCGAGCGCCCCGCGCTGGCCTGTTCGGCCCCGCCCCCGCCCCGGGCCATGGCCCAGCCCTTGTCCCGGCCCCTCGTCCTATCCCAATCCCAGCCTTGGCCTCCGGCCCCGCCCTCGCCCCGCTTCCCAAATCTGCCCCAGCCCGGGCCTGGGTCCTTGCGAATGCCCGGGTCCAGGTCCCAGTCCAGACCCCCTCTTCAGCCCGGGTCCCTGGCCTGGTCCCCGTCCTTGCCTCGGCCCCTGTTCCAGCCCCCGTCGCGAATCCCAGCCCGGCCTCTGTCCCCACCCCATCCCCAGCTTTTGCTTAAACCCCTGGCTCAACCCCGACTCTGGCTCCATTCCCCATCGCAGTCCCTCCTTCCGCCACTCTCCCTGCCCCTGTTCAGGCCTCAGGGCTCAGCCCGGCCCAGCCCGTTCTCTCAGCCTTCGCCCCCGTCTCTGTGTTTGCCCTCCTCGCTCCCACTGGCCCCCCGCCTCTCTCATACTCTGCCCCTCTCCCAGCCTCGGCTCAGGTCTGGGCTCCAGCTGCCGCCAGCCCTATTGCTGCTGTTGCTGCTCTCTGTCCTTGGCCGTGGGGCTGGTGAGTGCAGAAGCAGGAAAGATTGAGCTGGATGGGATTCTGGCAGGAAGGGTGGGCTGGCGAGACTGAGAAGAGATGGGACCTGGGGAGCTAGGTTCCTGGGGAGGAGGTGGGGAGAGTAGGCAGTAGAGAGGAACCGGCAACGTCAGGAGCGGTACAGGGTGTGTGTGCGTGCGTCTGTGTCTATGGGTCGAGGCTCAGCTGGTGGCCGAGAGACGCTGGACAGAGCCTTCCCTTTGTTTCCTGGTGCCCGTCCTGACCCCACTTGACTCAAGCTTTCTAGGGAAGTCTTGAGGGCTTTGCTCCTTCTGTTCTTACAGTTTGCTGGGGGAGACGTAGGTCCACACCGGAAGCCTCTATCCAGGCTGGGAGGATGTGGCATAAACCTTTGAGAGGTTGGGCGATGCATTCAAACCGGGTTAAGAAAGTGGTTTGAAGATAGCATGTGGCAAACGTAGGGCTGTAGAGCAGCTGTCATTATGGTGGGGTTTCTTCTCGTAGTCTTTTTTACCCAGCAAGCTTGATTTGCCTATGAATAATTCCTGATACTTTAGGTCAGGGTTGAACCTCAAAGGCCATTTCACAGATGTGGAAATTGAGGCTTACTGAGGGAGCAGTTTGTTTAAGGTCATACCACATAAAAATGGCAGTGCTGGGGCTAGAAAAATGGCGTCCTAACTCCTTTCCTGTACTAGTGCCCCCTCTCCCCACTGCAGTTACACACAATAGAAAACCACACACAAATGAGGAAAGGCCCAAAGCAGTTTCTTTTCTCTCTAGTCACCTGCAGGGAGCTTCATTCACAAACTGTGTCTCACTTGCCAGGTGTCACCATCCAGTCCAGAAAGGCACATGGCTAGGAGTGAGAGACGTCCAACTCCTTCGTGGCTGGACTGAGGGAGGAGGGCAGGGGATGAGCCGTGCTGATGGCCTCATCATGCAATGCGTGTGGTCTTCATAGGTCAGCCTCCAGCCTTCTCTGCTGGGTAGCAGTCTAACCCTCACCCTGCTGAGTCTTTGGCAGTAAGAGCTAATGGAGCAGCTAGGGTCCGGGCTGGGTGTCGTTGAGCTCAGTGGGCCTCGTTCGGTGTATAGGCTTAAGATCAGTGCACGCCAACGGTCGCAGCCTCTGCAGAGATGTCTGGATGCTCGTTCGCCTGTGTGTTAGCTGAGAGACCGTCGGAATGCTGGCCCGTGCAGTGTGTGCACATGCTGTGTGTGGTAAGTGTAGGCACGTGTGCTGTGTGGGTACCTGTGAGCTGATGTGTTCTCTGAGTGCCAGTGTTGTTGTGTGAGGGTGAGGGCACGTGGTCCATGCACACTGCTCTTCAGCTTTGCCTGCTGATGGTATGTTCACTCGGAAGTGTATAGTTCCTAGGTTGGAGGCAGAGCTGGGTTCCTCTCCCAGCATATAGAAGTAGTCCATCCATCTCTAGCCAATCTCCTGAAGGGAAGCAGCCATAGCGCGAGGGGCGGCTCAGTGCTGATGACTGCTGCTGACAAGTTGGGCACTGAGATGAGGCAGTAGCCACTCAGGTTTTCAGTTTTGGTGAGAAGAATCCATACTAATTAGACCAGTGTATAGCTCTCATCCGTACACCTGTGGTGGCTTCTTGTTCATTAATCAAACACTGGGCTGGCAAGGGGAGAAGGGTGACAGCAGTCGGAGAGTTTACAGACCTGAAGTTACAGATACAGAAACAGAAACAGGTTTTTGATGCTTTGGGGAAAATTATGATGAAGTTGGAAAAGAGCGCTGTATAGGCCCAACTGTAGGCAGGGTTGCCCTTAGCACTGTTAATCCGTGCCTTGGTCACTAGCTGCTGTTCATGTTAGCTCTCTGAGGATCTGTACTGAGGGACTGACCAACATGTCTCCTAACAATAGCCATGGCAGATAAGATGACCCATCCCTGCTGCCAGCTTCCAGGAGGAGCAGCTGTTCCTTATGGCCAGCAGAGGGTGCTCCAGAACTCTTACTTCTTATAACAAAAGTATCTCGGTTGTTCAGCTCTTGACCTTTGGCTTCTCATTTGTCACAGCCAGGGTTCCTGGAGACCTTGTCTTCCCCATCACCTGGTCCTATTGCCCGTCAGCCTTCGTAGACGCATCTCCACTGTTCTCCAGTCTCTGGGTTACAAGCAGTGCTCCGCTTGCAATCAGCATTCTTCTTTGCTGACTGTTGAGACTGATCATACGGATGAGAAAGACTAGTCCTTGGGTGCAAGTACAGCCTTTGAGGAAAATCACAGGCCAGTATAGGCCCACTGGCCTCCACCTCTGTAGGGCAGCTCTTTGGAGCATGACTTGAAGTTACCTCAGTTTAGTACACAGTTTAGAACACCTTAACCAGTGCTCCCTCCTTCAGCAGACACCCTTTTCCAGATGGCTGTGTTATTTCAGACACCGAATTTTTGGGGTTGTGTCTCCCATCTTCAGAGGGGCATATCATCAGACTAGGAAAGCCCTGTGGGAAAACCCTGCTCCAAAGTCTCCCCTCTCCAGGTTCCCACTCTGTCCTGAAGATGAGTTTTCCACTTCCTCACCTGTCTGAAGGCAGGCTCCTGGGCCTCTCCGGAGGCTGCTCTGAAGTCTCTAAGCAGAGTCCTCAGGGCTCTACTCCATAGGGCCTTGCCTGCCTTCTGGGGCCCTCTTTTCCTGTCCTGCTGAGCTAGCTGCTGGGTTACTCTCACCAGGACAGTTTCAGTGCCCATGTGCTTGTCTGACTACTGCATAACTTTGCTGCTTGCTTCCCATCTCCCACTTTGGCCTGCACCAAACATTCCCAAGTGGTTTGAGATTCCACTGGGCCCCCAAATGACTGTCTCACCAGACCTCCCTCTGCAGAAATGCCTCTCAATGCTCATTCTGACCCTAGAGGTTCTAATGACTCTTTTTCCGGGAACTCTTGTGGTGACCTGATCGCTCCTGTTCTTGCCTCTGCCACCCAGGCAGGCCCGTTGCAGCCTTACCACACCTTCCCCTCCCTTCTCCTGTCTTGAACCAGTATACAGAAAGCGCTTGTGAAGCTTCTGAGGGTTTTCACTGCTTCTAACCACGGGGGAACAGAAAGGGGCAGAAAATAAACAAGTTACAGAGTTCCATACTGACGCCCAAGCCCCGCAGGTGGAGTTCTAGCCTGCTCAGCGGCTTAAGAGTCCATGCCAACACACACACACACACACGCACACACACACACGCACATGCTCACACACGTGCGCATGTGCACACACACACCTCCACATGTCTGTTATGTTAGAAGAGAGCAATGGTTCCTAAATGAGGGGGCAGCTGGAGGCCATATAAAGGGTCGTGATTCTGCATCCTCTCTTCAGTGTAGGTTTGAGCCTCAGTTTCCTTACTGTATAATTAGGTTTTTTTTTAAAAAACAAAGTCTGCAGAGGCTAAACCAGATGCTGGTTAGGCAGCAGGAGACCACTTCCTGGTTGGGAGCAGAGTGTTTGTGGAGTGGGAACTATTCGTGAGGGAGGCTGGCGTGCCTGTTGCCTGATGGCAATGCCCTCTTTCTCATCCTGCTCCCTTTTCTTTCTCCTGCTTTCCAGGAGGCCTTTTCCTGACTGATTACTCCACCTGCTCACCCCGCAAGCTGAGTC